TCAACTTTTATTACCTTGCCTATAAATCATTCACAAAAGCCTATGAAATAGGCTTTCTTAGAACAGACCCATTTTGGCTAACTCAATGGCACAATATTAAGATTTCTTTTTGTACACTGAAGTATTTAATAAGCCCAACCAATGTTTTCCACTGATACAAACTGACCCTAGTTTTGCATGCAACAGGCCAATGATCTGGCTTAACTTTATCACACACCAAGATTTGCCACAATAATTACCAGACAGCAGAGGCCAGCTAACAAAAAGTCACCAAGACAACAATACATTTCAATTTGAAAGCACTCAGTTTATTAACTGACCAGATAACAAAAATAGGTAGATACCTGAAAGAAAAAAAATAAGCCTGTTAAAGAAACCAGCTTAATAGCTAAGAATTCAAATTTTAAGGAAGCTATCAATTTTTATTTTTAAGTAGAAACAAAACACAAGCCTTTTCTTTCCTCCATAAATATACTCAAAAGAAAGGAATAACCAAACCAATTATACAAATAATAGTTTATCTTATCAATATTTACTAGAAAAAGTATTTTAGATAACCACTTTTATTATAGTATTTAGTAAATTTTTCCCAGGACATAGCCGCTCACCTTAATTCATCCTTCTAATAAGCCTGTTGATCTGGTCTTCCCTGTTGCCAGCATCTCCACCCTCTACAAAATGGGTGGTCTTTTTCTTCATTCCACCTCGTGGAGAAGATAACTTGAAGGGCCACAGGAAATTGTTTGCTTCTTTGAAACGTTTTCCAACAGTATAGATCTCATGAATCAGATCCTCCATGCAGATAATGCCATATTTACCTGAACATTTTAAGACCATTTAAGATTATTAAAATTGTTAATGGTTTTTTAAGATTAAATCTTAAGACTTTCAAAAAGCACTAACAGGTTAATCAAGAATAAAGCAACCAAGAAGAAAATACATGGCTGTATTTTACAAAAGTTCAAGAAAGCCAATGAAATCATACCCTTACATTTTCTAGAGACTTAAGTATTGTAGGGAATATGGGAAAGTTCATGATAGTGAGAAATGCTGGGCCACAAGATGCCAGAAAATATCAACTTTGTCTAACTTTTCCCTAAAAAGGCAGAACCTACCAAGAGATCGAGCAATCAATGTGTTATCCGTCAGAGCAATTCGTTTCTTGTTGATTTTGCCATAACCACGCTTATAGATGAGTTCATTTACTGACTTTAGGTTTGGGTACCTGAAATATGAAATACAAAAAACCTATTAAAATAAAGGTTGAATCAAAAACCTTTTCTTGGCTGAACAGGTTATCACTCAAAACTCCCAGAGTTCATCTTGTTGATGTAGCCACTTTACCAAACAGAAACCAAAGGAAAAGACAGACTTACCCCCATGCAATGTATGGTTCCACAATCCTCAGCATGTTAATGGAGGCCTTGTTGAGCTTAACAAAGGTGCCATTGAAGATCTGGCGAAGGCGAAGAAGTTGCAACACCTTTCGAACCTTTGGGCTCACGCCATTGATACTGCAATGAAAAAAAGACCAGAAATTGAATTTGGGTTTTGTCAGAATTTTTATTAATAAAGGACAGAAAATCCTATTTTGGGCAAAGTCCTACCTAGAGAGACAGAATTCCTCTGTCAGAAAGACCACTGGCATTTTTCTTTTAGTCAGCTGTTCTGCCACCCCTCCCAACTTGCCCCATCCCAAAGTAAACTGGTGTTTAGACACATACCTGATATTTAAAAGTTCCCCCTGGCCCTTTTACTCCTTCCTCGTTTTGTACACCTTTATTACAGGCACTTATAAGCCTATTTAACGACTTTTGAAGTTAATCTCAAGTTCACCAAACTCAAGACCTCAGTTAAAAAACAGGTAAGGGTTTTGGGCACAGGACTAGCAACTAAACCATGAAAATAACTCCCCCTTGTTCTAGTTACTCCCAAAACATTTTTATTCCAATGTTTCAGAACCAAAGCCTCCAGAAGTTGGGATTGCATAGCTTTCCCTTTAAAGCTAGAATGCAGTATAAACTGAACTTACCCTCTGATTCTGATGACAAATGCCAATTTGGGTTCTGCAGGTACATAGAAGTTGCCAGCTTTTCTTGCCATCCTAGCCATTCGAATCTCAGTTCTGTACATCTGCCTATATTCCTTGTGATAGTGCTTAGCTTTTTCATAGATAAGCTTCCTTCTTGCCTTTCGAAGCTGAAAATCATTATTGGTTATTCATCTGATTTTTACCTCCAAAACATAATTAGCATTAAACAGCTCTTTCAAAGAAAAAAACTTTCCCTCGAAACTTTTCTCGCCCCAGTATGCATTAACATTCTACGAGCTAAACAGCTACCTTTATTTCAGAATGCCATTTTAAGGAGCTAAGCCAAACTCTCTGGTACAATACATAAACATGTCTTGCTAATAAAGAACAAACTTTTCAATCCCGACTGCAAAGCCTCTTCTTATATTAAGTGCCAAAAAGTTTACTTACCATCTTTTGCGCAAACTTCTTTCTCAGGCGCTTGATCTTCAACTCTGCGAAATTCCTTCGCTTTTTCTTCAGGGTTTCTGGCACAGCAGGAACCTTTTTTTTCTTCTCTCTGGCAACAGCAAACAAAACGGTATTAATATAAGTTCCCAGCGCTTCATTACTCCCATTCTACACTAAGCATACACTTTGTCGTTTTACAGAACTATGTCATTAACTCTCAACACCTATATTTTTTGCTACTCTAACATATTTTAGTGCCTAAGATACAGATTCTAGGAAATTTCTGACAATAATCTTCACCTTTAAAATGGGCTACTTTAATTAAACGTCCATCACAAAGACAACAATTCACCTAATCCACGAACTGTCCTGGCCTCCCACAACAAAATTATATACAGCAAAAATTAGCAAAGCGTACAAACTGATGGACCGCCACAAGACTCTTGATCCCTAGACTCTCAAGGAGTCTAAGAGGGCTCGGGATTGTCATTTTAAAAAACCAAAACCCCCAACTACTACCCTGGTTCGAGTCTCAACCTACACAGGCGGAAAAGAAAAGCATGACAGCAGGGCCAGCTGAGCCACGGACCAGTTGAGAACGAATCCAATTCAGAGGCTCTGTTCCTCCTCTAAATAACGGAGGGCTGGAACAACCCACCGATTCCGAACACAACTCAGCTCCCACACCTTGTTCCCGGTATCGCCAAAACCTCCGCCCCAAGGCCGCCTGCATCCCAGCTTAGCCTGGAGCCACCACTAACGTCACACACAGATAATTGGGCAAAGATGCAGCTACAGCTGGAGCGGAGAAAAACGAGACAAAAGATCTCTGATTTCACGGATGGATTAGGATTCTCGAGAAAACGAAGTTCACTTACTTTGCAGTCTCCATGGCTCCAGCCGGAAAAAGAGGAGGTTTGCGCATGCGCATGGCTCACTTAAAGACGACGAGCGTGAAGCCCCATGACTCATGGGTGTCCCTGGATAAGCCAGAAAAGAACTCAGAACTGAGAACTCGCCTTGCAGACGCAAAATTAAGAACTTCCTGATTCAGTCTCTTAACGATCAGTTTCCGGATAAATCTGTATTGAAAAATGCATGCACTGATTAGACTCTTTAATCATTATGACAAGACCACAGCGCTAATACTTTGATCGCTTGGGGTCCTAGTCTCTAGGCAGCGTTGGCAAGGTACGGCTCAAATTCCATCCAGCAATGCACGCAAACGAGACGCTGCACGGGTGTGAACTACAAGTCCCGGCATGCAGCTCTTCCACTGCCCGCCAAGCGGGAGGGCAATGCCTGACCGGGACCGTAGGCAACCACCGCGGAGATTATTCCAGCCAGGAAAAATGAGCGTCTTCTGGCCCACGTTACAAAAGGCTAGCTGCGATTCTAAGTCGCTCCCGAGACTCAACTTTTGCCCGCCTTCTCGGCTCTCTGCCAGCCCTAGTCTGACCGGCAACCCCTCTGCCGCGCTGCTGAGGTCCTTCTCTTCGTTCCTCCAGACTGTCGGGCTGTCTTCCGCAGCGCCTGACCGCAGGCGGGGCTGTCCTGAATACCCTAGTTAACGAAAGTAACGAGATAGGGGCAAGCAAGGACCGTCGGCTGGAGAAGGATGGCCGAGGCACTGCCGACTGCTGGGCTTGGCAGGCGGAGGCTGGGACATACCACGGTAGGGGGCGTGAGCAGCGAAGGGAAGTGCGACGGAGGCTGGAGGCTGCGGCCACGGCCATGTGAGAGGGGCTGCCCCGCCGCGGTTCGGCGGACGTCGGGCGGGGGGCTGGGCGGGGGGCGGGGTGCGCCCGGGGGCGGGGAGGGCCGAGCGGAGGGAGGGCCGATGCCGCCGCCGGCTCTTCCCGGTCTAGGGTTATATAGTGCGGAGCTTGGAACCCGCTCAGAGGCGGCCGAGAGCGCTCCGGCTTGCAAGCGGCATTTCGCTGAGGAGCCCGGTACCCGAGTGACAGCCGCGGGCAGAGCAGGGCAGGGGACACGAGACCACAGGAGCAGCCGCAAGCCGTTGGGCAGTGCTCGACTGCGCCGAGCGAGTCGCCCCTTTTTGGCACTCCTGCTGCCCCGCACCCCACTCTCCCACCCTCTGGCAACTTGGGTCAAGTTGACAACTGTCCCGGCGGCCGGCAGGCCAGTGCTGTCTCCGCTGCGCGCTCCTCCCCAAGGGTGAAAGGGAGTCGCGGCGGTGGCTTGGCCATGAGGGCAGCGCGCGCCGCCTAACTCGCGGCTGTCACCGCCGCTGCTGCGGGACCCACCGGCCAGGCGAGCGCTCCGGGACGTGCGGGCGGCTGCCGACAGGAGGCGCCGAGCTGAGCGGCTGCCGGCGCGGGCACAGCCCGGGACCTCCGCGCCTAGCCCAAGAGGGAGCGGCCCCGCGCAAGCAGGGAGCGTCGCCTCACACTCCAGCCCGGGCAAGCACCTCGGGGGCGGTGCGGGGCGCAGCCTTCTTGCCCCGGCCGCTGACAAGTGCCCCGGGGTGGGCTACGTGGCTCGGGGTGGGCGCGGACGAGGGCACTGGACTCGTGCAGGGTTCCCAGGCGTCGCGATGAACATCGTGGTGGAGTTCTTCGTGGTCACTTTCAAAGTGCTCTGGGCGTTCGTGTTGGCTGCGGCGCGCTGGCTGGTGCGGCCCAAGGAGAAGAGCGTGGCGGGCCAGGTGTGCCTCATCACCGGCGCCGGCAGCGGCCTGGGCCGCCTCTTTGCGCTCGAGTTCGCCCGGCGCAGGGCGCTGCTGGTGCTCTGGGACATTAACACTCAGAGCAACGAGGAGACGGCGGGCATGGTGCGCCACATCTACCGCGACCTGGAGGCGGCCGACGCTGCGGCGCTGCAAGGTAATTGTGACCTGCGCCCGAGCATAGTCGGGTCAAGCCTCTGCCCACCCCTGCACTCTTCCCCGGAGCGCCCTTAACCTCCGCTGTCGCGGTAAGCCCGGCTCGGGGGGAAGAGAACACCCCGCCTCCACCACCACTTCTGCTAGTGGAATTTGCCCCTTGATAAAGAAACATGATCACCTCTGTATGAGAAGGTGGGAAAGTGTGCCGAACCCTGTCTTAACGGAGGTCCTCTTTGGGGACGAATGTAGGGTGTCCTTAATCTTCTGTGGATAGGGAAGGCCGAGGGAACTTGTTACCACAGGTTTGAATCCTAAAGAAAAGCTTCACTCGCATTTGAGATGGGAAACTAGTGTCCTGTTTTCAGACTGGACTGATGGCAGGTATATATGTTACTGCGATTTTGAACCGCTTAGACTGGGGCAGCTTTGATGATTTCACTATTAACTTTAACCACCAGAAAAGAATTTCATTGTTTCACCAGAGATAAGTGTTTTGGTTACATACTCAGTCTGACTGAAAGATGCCCTGCCTCTTAAGGGACAGCTCTTGAAGAATTTAAGCCTCATTGTAAATTTATTTCATGTTTTTGATAACATTGGGAAATCTGTATTTCTGTATATTTATTAACTAACCTGTTCGGAGACTTCTCTTTTAAAAAGCCAAAGCGGAGACCGTGACGAACTATAAACATAGGTCCAGGAAATTTGATAGTGGCCCTTGCTCTTTTGACAAAATTTTTCATTTCTAGGGGAAACATTGACCTTTCCCGAAATTAACTTGGATAGCACCCACCTCTCCCCTACATTGATTTTTTTGTCGCCAAAACTATTGGCACCTGCCTTTTAGGTCAGAAAATCAAAGGTCAGAAACATTTTCAGCAATGGTATGGAGAGGTAGCAAATAATTGATTCTTGTGCTCCCTGCAAAAACCTGGAAGGTAAAGGTATTCAAACACCAGGAAAGAGATTTTGGGTTTTAAATGGAAATCTTCTGTGCTAAAATTGCATGTTTACCTGTTAACTTGGTTTTACCTGAGGGTGCTTCTTAGGGAGAGTTAAGCTACTCCAGTTAGAACAAACCAGTGATCTCCACTTTTTCATAAGGAGCTTTAGGTTCGTTTCTTGGCTTTGGATAAATTCAAATCATTAGTTTTGATTTGTGAGCCTTGAGGAGAGTTTCCATTTTGAGGGTGCATGTACTAGAAAATAAGCAGCTCTGGCAACTGTTCCCCAAAAGGAGTGTGCAGTGTGTCTTTGGAAATGGGCGGGTGTTGCTCTCTGGGCTGAGATCAGTTCTTTCCAGGTGTCTTTAGCTCCAGGAAGCTGATCCCATGAGGTCTGACTTGTATTGGGCTTGTCACAATTACATGATTTTCCCCTAAGCAAAGTTATCCAGTAAATTGCTATAATTCCCAAAGACTTTTGGGGGAGGGAAGGCAGCTGTAAGTTCAGTCATTGGCAAGCCTTACGGTGTTAGAAATTTGAAGCTCACTGTAGTATTTTTGTTTTGTGTGATCTTTGGCCTACTGATTGTCCTGTGACTCACGTTTTGCACCACCCCCCTCCCCCGTCTCACCCATCCCTGAACCCTTCTCTGTTCCATTTTTTTTCTGAGGACAGCTGGGAATGGTGAGGAAGAAATTCTGCCCCACTGTAACTTGCAGGTTTTTACCTACACCTGTGATGTGGGAAAAAGAGAGAATGTCTACCTGACGGCAGAAAGGGTCCGCAAGGAGGTTGGCGAGGTCTCAGTCCTGGTCAATAATGCCGGTGTGGTCTCAGGGCATCACCTTCTGGAATGTCCTGATGAGCTCATTGAAAGAACCATGATGGTCAATTGCCACGCACACTTCTGGGTAAATATAAACATCCTTGTTTTTATTACTGGGCCCTCCTCAATGAGAAGGTTGGGCAGGAGGGAGACTTCAGCACCAGCCTGGAAGTTACCTGTACTGTTTCACCACACAGTTTCCTTCTAATTTGCTCTTACCCCATGGTGAATTGTAATATGTACTGGTTACTATAAAATAGATGTTTTCTTCTTCTCCCCCAATTCAGTGTTTCTTGAGAGGTTAGGGGACTGAACATTTTGAACTAGTTTGAAAGATTGCCATAAAAATAACAAGAGGGAGTATATAACCCAGGGTTTGTTTATTTTACTTTCTGTTGAGTTTGTAAAACATTGGTTGTTCTTATGAATTCCTAAAGTCAGAGTTTAGACTCTCTAAATTACTGCTCAGCCACATTTCGGTAAGTGCCAAAGATTCTGAGATCAGCATTTGTGGTCAGTTGGGAGTGGTCAGGCCACCCTGGCAGTCACTTACCATCCATTGGCCATCCATGGGATCTATGGCATTGTCCTGTTGGAATACATTTAGAATTTTCTCAGCTTAAGAGAACTGAAGTCACCCTGATAGGATCACAGAGTCACTCTATAGAGGGCAAGGGGATTGTGAGACCTGGTGACCACAGATTTAAACTATATCAGCTTCTAATCATCAGAGCTATTACAGCATCTGAGAAGGAGAAGGGAGGACGTTCTGCCACTGGGAACAAAGCTAACCCCAGTTTTTCAGCCGAACTTACCTTCAGTAATGGGAGTTGTAACACTCTCCCCTATATATAACTATATACTGTTGACCCATGTTATGCTTTTTCCTCCTCTGTAGTATTTCCCCTTTTCTTTGTAGACAGGATAGGATCCAATAAAAAGAAAGGGTAAGGAGATAGGGTTTGTTGTTTTTTTTTTTCCATAGGCGGATTAGCCTTCTAATAGACACTAACAAAGAACTGTTTCTTCTAAATAGGTCATATTAAACCTCATTAATTTTTAGCAACTACTTAAAAACTTAATCTGGCTTTAGAAGTACTTATTCAGATGTTGCTCCTTTAACATCGAACTATTTCTCTGATCCTGTAAGAAGCTTATTTTAATGTTTTCATTTTTAAGCATGAGCTTTATTTAATTCATTTCTAAACCTCTAAAAGTGAACACATAAATGATGTGAACTAATTCATACTTATGTTTTAAATAAGTAAGGAGATTACCAAATAAAGTTGGGGAGGATTTAAGTATGCTTGTGTACGGGTGTAGAAGTGTGTGTGTGTGTGTGTGTGTGTGTGTGTATTATGCAGTGGGGGTGGGCAACTGAATGAAAGGCTTTGCTGCTGCAGGGTCCACAAGAACAGGAGGCAAGTAACAAAGGGGTAGATCAGGTGAGTAAAGGCCAGCACAACTGAATAAGCTTGGCAGTACAGTTTATCAAGAATCTTGTATGTTTATAGTTCTGAGTTAAACAACCACTGTTTGAAATACAAGGCATTCATAAATTGTAGGTGGAATGTAGCTTTCATATTTAAAGAATGGTAAGGGTGAAGCTGCCATAGTAACTCCAGTTGATTTCTATAAACTCGTCATCCTTAAACACACATACATTCATCAGTAAGCTAGGTGTGAACCACAGACACCAGGATTTTTTCCCAGTAACCTTCAACTGCGATGATGTACGGTTTCCAAGCTGTAAACTTTACCTACGCAAGATACTGTTAAGGTTTAGTCAGCCATCTTGCCTACTTTCTCTGCATGATTCTTTTGCTGAGTTGTTAAATTTTAAATGTAATCAGATTTTTAAAGAAACCCCATACAGTCTGCAGTTAAATATTTATAAGAAGAAAGCAGCTTCTCTTCTCTAGACATCCTATAAAATAAGAGCTAATTTAGTGTTAAGCACAGAAAATTCATAGCTTTAGCTTTGAAATTGCATATCAATTAATATACTATACCTCTAATATTAGGCTACTTTCTAACATTAGGATAAAATTGAATCAAATCTCCAATAGAAAAATTATTGTGGAGCTGACTCTATACACCAAGAAGGAACATACCACCTTCCCAGAGCCCATCCTTTGCTTCAAGATGTTGCTTAACTATACAGTTTTGGGAGTTCTTGGAAGCCTTGACAGTAATGACGTCACTTCATATTAAAATATGGGAGGCTCCTGAATTTTCCAGCTGTTTTTCCCCTAAGCATCTAAACTTAAGAGTTTATTTTCAATATTGAGTCAGAAAATTCATTTTAGAGTTGGAATTTCTGACTTCTTGCCGAGACTCACAAACCTTTTAAGAAGTTGAAATCTAGCAACTAATGTTTAAAAGAGACTATAATTTTTACAGTTAACTTTTTTTTCTGGGGGGAGGGAGGTATGTTTCCATCACAGTTTAAATGCTGTAAGAGCCACCTGGATTCAGCTTCCTTTTCAGTACTCCTCTTAGGTAAAAATGTTCATGGTAAGTATTCAAAGATGTATTGGCATGTGCTGTTTTCCTTCCAAGAAAAAAGAAAGTGTATCTTTTTACTGTATCCGGGTAGGGAAAAGAAGTTATTCCATACATTTTAAAAAGTAGATCAGCTGAGCAAAGATTTGTTCAGTTATTTGAACAGACCATCTTGAGCCCAACTTAAGTGGCAGTTGATGTCTCTTTTCATAAAAGAATAAATGATATGTGGGTCCTGAGTTAAAGTCACACACAGCAAAGTAGAAAACCATGTGGCCTTCCACTGAAAAACAGTGGGTGCTTCTACTTCCAAACCATTCCTCATACTATCCCACCTGCCCGGAAGGCCCTTTTTCACTACTCCGTGTACATTGTCAGGCCTAGCTCAAGTCCCTCCTGACTTGAACCCTTTTCTGTCATTTGCATATTAGAACCAGAGATCCTTAGAGGTCTTCTTGTTCAACCCCTTGTTTTCTAATGAAATTGCAGCCAAATGACTTGTCATTCAATCTCTGGCAGCATTTGCTGTCATTCACATCCTTTGGTGCACAGTATGTGCTTTTTGGTGTAACTTTTTATACATTGTGCCCTGAAATCCCAAAGTGGATTTCAAGCTGTCTATTGACAGTTTGTTACATGCATCTGTTTTCCCCTGCCTGGAACAGAACTGTACTCATAAGTCACTCAATAAATGTTTGACAATATAGGCTAGGCTTCTGCTTAAATACTCAAAAGTAAACTTACTCGAAGAATGCTCACATGAGTCTATCTTTTGAAGTTTCAGAAGGTAAGCATTATGTTGGACTAATTCAAGCTGTGGTTGATAAGATTTGAAAAATGGGGCTGGCTCACACTCACTATTATTTGCATCTCTTGTCTTCCTACACAACTTTTCCATTCTCCCTGTCCCACTCTATGCTCATATTTATATAGTGTGTTAACTCTACTCATTGGTGCAGAGCTAGCAGCTTGTTGATGTTCCAGTTTAAGTCACACTGAAATTGAATGTATGGCAACCATTCGTATTTCCCAATGACTGGGTCTCAAGGCAAGGATTTCTACTGCAATTCATTCCTTTCTCCTTAACCTCGTACTATTTCCATACGTGCTGGATGTTTTTACAGTACTTGGCATTATTCTGCACAACCCTCCAGTCTGCTATGATACTTCATCTTCCAGTATTCTATCACCAGCAGCTATCTTGGGAACCTTCTCTTGGTCACCAGGCAAGAAGTGATAGATTTGGAGTAGGTTCTAGTCAACCTAATCTGTTGCACAACATTCGTGGTTAGGACAAGACCACGGAGCATATATGCAATACACTGCACTTTACATTTAGCAGAGTCATGGAAACCCTTAACTTAGGCTCTGCTTCAGTGAGATGCAAACACTTGAAAATACCTGTCTAGTCTCTTTGAAATACAGAAAGCTGGCCTCCATACAGGAACTGTAAACTCATATTTTCCCCAAAACATTAGTACTGCTTCACTTGTAATTTTTTAAGAGGAGTAGAATCTTAGCGTGCCATTTCTAAAAGCCAAAGTTTATCTGTAGATCCTTTTCAACCAAAGAGCTGCATTTGGCCTTTTCTATGTGAGCAGCAAATTGATCCCTGATTAACCAAAAGGGGGAAGCAAAAGCATTTAACTCCAGGCCTTTTATGTTCTGAAGAAATTTTGCATGGTAAAGGACTAAATCTGTCAAATAGCTAGTCAGTAATTTACTTCTATTGATATGGTAGTCAGACAAGATAATTGGTAGTTAATTAATAGGCCACTTAACTTAAAAGGTTTCACAGTTTTAAAATACTAATTACTGAATTAGGCATTTATCTATATCCAAATGTCTAAAGTCTATTTAGTTAAAATCCATCCAGCAAAAGTAAAAGCCCACCAGCTAGATCTGAGTAATGTAGCACTTAAAGACATTAGTGCTGTGGTTGTACCTAATATCTCATGAATGGTCCCTAATCGTTAATGTTTAAGTTCTTAAGTGATTTACTGGTTTTTAATCTCAAATACTGTATTCCTCTGTTCTCTAGTTAGAGAAACCTAGTTTTGTTAAAGGCCTGTTAGATTTTAGAGTTTGAAAAAAAAATCATTTCTAAAGTATTCATGTGAAACTATTTGGCCAATATGTCCTCCTCTAAACTATAATATTAAGAATTGTAGACTAACTATTTCATAGAGTATTGCTTTCCTGTCTTAAGGTAGCTAGTAAAAACTTGGAATTTAAGATCTGTTTTTAGTTGGCTTCTGTTATTTAATATCAAATGCATAAAAATCAAATCTTTGAGTTTTAGAAATAAAAACTTTATGCTTTGACCCGAACTGGAAATTGACATGGAACACACCTGCTTTATCTTTGTTAATTCTTGTGATCACAGTTAAAAACTAAGTAAAACATCTCTTTAGATAACTCCTTGGAAACCTGGGAGTGTATACCTAACTCCAGGCCATTTCATAGCTTATTTTCCTAACACAAAATAAGATCACATGCTCATTGAAACTTGTGGTTCTGTATTTGATACAAATTTCATGCTGGGCCCAAATCTCTTGCTACTAGAAATCAACGTCTGTG